CTGTTAGATTGATTGGCCGCTCACTCCGAACTAGTTCATGAGGGTGATGAGTGGAGAGTCTTGTTTCATTCCTTGCGTTACAATGAAGTCCGGGCAGCTGTCGCGAGGTCACTACAGCTGTATGTGTTCATGTCCTCCAGTAAAAGATTTCTTCTCTTGAACTTAAATTAACTATCTTGTTTCTTTTATAAAACTAAATTAATTTTCGACTGTGGATGTATTACTTTGTATTTGTTTGTGGATATTGACGTGTTGAGTCAGCTCAGGGTATGGTGAGTGAGGGGCCGTACCCGCATCTCGGAGCCTGTATAAGAAGCCCTACGCCCTGTGATAACGTTATGGCTTTATGGCTTCCCTTCCTTCTTTATGACCCCGACGCCCAGATAACAACACGCCTCACATTCCCTATTGTAGTTTCTGCTGGGAACGTCTTTCCATACCGGGTGCCGCTTTCTTAGATAATCAGAGTTCTCCTTCTTTAAGTTGTGAGGAACAAGGACGGGGGAAAACAGTAGGTCAGTGGCCAAGCACCGCGCCTCCGTCCTGATAATATTGCTTGAGGGGTGTGCCCAGTTGACATCCTGAGCCGTTACATGATACGTCATTGTGGTAGTTATCATTACAGATAACATGATTGACCCTAGTTGGATTCACTGTACTTTTAGACGTCAATAAACACTCGGATAAATTGTCCTTAATAGTCTCAGTTGCTATATAGTTGACTAGCAGTTTGTTCTCTTATATTTAACACGGTACAGGACAGAGGCAGGAGCAGGGGAGAGGAGTGCTGGTATGGTGTGCACGGCCGCGAGATGACTTTACCATTCGCATACTTTTTGCCGCGCACCTCACAACAAAGACTTCATGGCGGGGTGGTGGTGCTGGTAGCGGGCGCTGTGAGTGATGTGCGGTCACCATCAAGAGCAGTGGTAGGGGTCATTACGCAGCAGTAGGTAGAGTGTGGGGGATACACCTTTACTAGGGCACGCTTAAGGGGAAAATTGGCAACCGTGTGGGGCTGTGGGGGTGTGTTGCGCAGAGATGGAGTTTACACACATGCGGCGGGAGGAACCGTGCTTGATTATGACGCGAATAAAGCTTACGTCATCTTAGCTCATTATGTTTTTGTTTCTAAGTGTGTGTATGTGTGTGTGTGAGGCCCTGTGAACGTGTGTGTGTGTATGTGTGTGTGTGAGGCCCTGTGAACGTGTGTGTGCTGGTGTAGATACCTCTCATAATATCCTGGCCTCTATGTTTAAGGGTTCCTGTTCGAGCGAGGTCAGTGAACTCTTTAAGACGTATTCATAACAACAAGAACCTGTGTTACGTCTTCTTCTTATCGGCTCAGGGATGCATCAGTCATCCGATAAGAATGTTCTTTATCGTGACACAGTTAGACAAGAAAGTGGAATCAACTTTCTAGGTTGAGGTAAGCCTTGTTTAACCTCTGACTTAACCAGCAGTGGATCAAGAGGGCATAGGTAAACCCCCTTTGTAGAATATGATCGATAGGTGAAATTTGTTGCATATGAGTACGGTTATGACGCACCAGGGACCTAGGCGTGTGTAGTAGTGAACATCTGAACAGTCATACAGTATACACACTCTAAACTAACATAAAACAAATCAGGACACGAGGCAGTTTCATTCCTTGCGATAGAACCTACTGTCATGTCCTTACCTTTGCATATATACCTTTATAGACATTGTTGATTATATTTTTATTATTACGGTAAGAATTTAGACGTAAAATATTATCATAGGTAAAGGTTGTTAAGGGACCACAGGTGAGGTATAGCCAGGTGTTTCGAAGTTGATTCTGGTTTCAGCAAATATTTAGACGACGGGATTATATTTTTTCCCAATATCCTTAGTTTATAGGAAAGTTTGATCCGGGAAGTTGAAATGAGTTGAACTGTTTAATGTGTGTGGTATGGTATGGTTTTGTTGACTAGACTATTATTGAAAATGTATTGCACAGTTGAACAAGTTGCGTCGTTTTAACTGAAGTTGTGTGTGTGTGTGTGTGTGTGTGTAGAGAGAGAGAGACAGAAACCGTTTATAAGTGTTTATGTGTTAATAAGCGGCTACCCTGTTCCACTTTGTTCCAATTTGTTCCATTTTATTCCACCGTCTTTATTTTTTTATATTTTTTGTATCATATTGTCTGTTTCTCCATCTTTCTCTTACTTCTTCTTCTTCTTCTTCTCCATCCTTCTCTCTACACTTTGTTCCGTCGTCTTTTCGTTTTCTTTTGTTACCTTATTGTCTGTTTCTCCATCTCTCCCAGGCTATTTCTCTATCTCTCTTTTTCTCCATTTTTCTCTTATTGTTTCTCTCCTTGGTTCTTGTCTTCGTTCCCTCCTTCTCTTTTACTCCAATTCTCCTTCTCGTTGGTGTAATATAATGTAAGTGTTTGCTCCAACAATTAAGGTCTTCAAGCGTGTGATAAGGGTAGTAATGACACTAATTCTTCAAGAGCAAAAAAAAATAAAAAAAATTACGACGCTCTTAAGTCCAGCATCCCACGAGACAATATACATCCTTATCTTTAATTAAGGTGTGTGTGTGTGTGTGTGTGTGTGTGTGTGTGTGTGTGTGTGTGTGTGGTCAACAGCCTACAACTTACAGCCGTTAATCTTCATCTCACATCCTAATTCTTCCTCTCAGTCGTTCTCTGGCTTGCTCGTGTTCGTGTCTGGTGCCTCGGTCCATGAAATTAGATTTGGCAGTGGGCGGTGTTTTATGTGGGGGCGCTGTGTTTGTGTGTGTGTGTGGACGTGTGCCGGGATAGGATGGGTGAGAGCCGGGGGTAGGGGTGGGTGAGTGCCGGGGAAGGGGTGGGTGAGTGCCTGGGGAGGGAGGGGGTGATGAACGTGCTGCGAGAGAGAGGGGGGGAACGTGCTGCTAGGGAGAGACGGGGGTGAACGTGCTGTGAGGGAGAGAGGGGGGTGAACGCTGCTAGGGAGAGAGGGGGTGAACGCTGCTAGGGAGAGATGGGGGTGAACGCTGCTAGGGAGAGAGGGGGTGAACGTGCTGCGAGGGAGAGGGGGGGGGGGTGCATCTACAGTTGGCTCTGGGTTTTGAGAGAAGGACTTAGTTAGTGAGAGGCTTCAAGCTTTGTTCTTACAGGTAATAGTAGATCAGCTTATTACAGGTGCTATCGTGGACTGTTGTTGGTTTCATTATAAAACTTTGATTCATCTCTCGTGATAGTAACTGTGTCTGTATGTTTGATTGTCTCACCAAATATCCCATACAATATATATACCACCATGTGTATAAGTGTACCTCCTAAGTTAAAGAGATAGATTGTACTAAATATTATAGCCGTTGTTGTCTTCCATTCCTAATTATTGCAACAGTAAACAAAACAAAATTTACGTAGATAAAATAAAGTCATTGAAGTGTTGTTGATGAGTGACATTTAACCCGTTGTTAGTGAGGTCAATAATTTTATGGTCAATTTGTTAAGGACACTCACTTGACCATGCACTGCTTGATGCCATAATTTACATGCGTATATAAAGGATGAAAGACGCATTCATAAGAGAAGTGGCAGACATTTCCCAGATGTTAATTGTCTTAGTCATGTCTGTGGTGGTTCGCTTGTAGTGTGTGAGCAGCTGAGAGAGATACATGATTACAACCTAACCTAACCTATCCTAACCTAACCTAACCTAAACTAACCTAAACTAACCTAACCTAACCTAACCTAAAGTAACCTAACCTAACCTAACCTAACCTATCCTAAACTAAACTAACCTAACCTAACCTAACCTAAACTAACCTAACCTAACCTAAACTAACCTAACCTAACCTAACCTAACCTAAACTAACCTAACCTAACCTAACCTAAACTCTGGTAGTGTGATAGAGGTCTGTGTTCCTGTGATGTTCTCTCCTACACACGATATCAGTAACACATCAAGAGTGAGTTACGTTGATTTTAGTGTTGCTTTTGTGTCTCTCTTAATCGGCGTCTTTGTATTTTATGTTCATGGTGATATAGATGAGTTAGTGGTGGCTGCCAATTTACATAATTATCTCAATGTTGTTCTCTATTCTCTCAGTAAGTCAATTTATCTCTCATTTTTGGAATGTTTTTTGGATTTATTTTCTTATTTTTTTGTATAAGTGAAGTTATAATTATATTGTGAATTTATGTCTGTTAGTTGTAAATGTGACAGCGTTTGTAAACACGTCTCATCTACCAGTTCTTGCACACACACACACACACACACACACACACACACACGCGCACACACACACACACACACACACACACTGTGCTATATATCACCAGGCGTTACATAACCTGAACACCTGTGGCTGTTGACGTTGCCTCGTGTTTACTTCCCTGTATAGGTGGCGCTGCTCTTGGTGGGTTATTGTTGATGTTCATTTGTCTCTTGTTGTTCACGCTGCTGATGACGTATATGTTTACATTATTGCTGTACTGGGGAGAGAGGATGATGATGATGATGATGATGATTAAACTCACCACAACCATTCATAGAGACGATCATCATATTCAACTTATAATTTATCTGGGGAACTTCCTGTAATTAATCTCTCTCTCTCACGTAGCTACCAACAGTTCATTCAGACAACTGATGAACTCTTTGTGGAACTTCCTGCCTTAAATGTTTTTCTTATAATCAATTCCTCTCCAACGGGTCAATTACACCTTCAATCAGAACTCTGTGTAACTGCTACCCGGCCACAGAGATGGTCATTGATAACAGTCTAATAACACTCTCCAATATTTCCCAAAACATCCTGTCTCATTTATCGTCATTAATCGACATAGAAACTTGTCTGATATTTCTCTGTTACTATAAGAAAAAAGCGACTATTAGTTTTACTTGACTATTTCCATTAATCTCTTTACTCTAGGGACGCCAACGATATTTAATTTGGACATTGAAAGATGATTTGATTCACCTCATGGGGGAACTCGTAGGCAAATGGGGTTAAAGGTTGTAAAAAGAAAGTGATTATGGTTTTTAATGTTTATTTATTCTTTTCATAAATTATATTTAAGACTAGAGGCTAAAATACTTAATGCTCTGAATTAGGTACTAAAAAGTCCAGCACTCGGGGATGTCACGTAGTCATCAGATATAGTATGTAGTTTAGCTTAGTTTAGTTTTCATATATCTATTTACATTAACCCAAGCTAGACTGCATGGGTGGTATAGTATAAGTACATTGTGTTGTGTTATGTATAGCCCCATCCTGTGCTAGGTCTGGGCGACACATTACCTCTGTGAAACAAAACCCATTGAAAAAAAAAATACTGTGTTTATGTAAAGAGGAAGAATGTTTGTGGATATTGTTGAGATTAAAATATTAGTATAGACGCCATGCCATTATTTTACCTGGCAAGAGAGAGAGGTGGCTGCCCTTCAGTCTACCTGGTTAGTGAACGGCAACAGGTGAGGGAAATCATTTAAATCATAATGGTATACGTGTTTGATAATTTCTCTAATACTACAGGTAATTCTACAGAGTATTTACAGTCATTACTTTTTTTTTTAACTTAAGAAAAGAGAAATAAAGGTAAGTGTGTGTGTGTGTGTGTGTGTGTGTGTGTGTGTGTGTGTGTGTGTGTGTGTGTGTGTGTGTGTGTGTGTGTGTGTGTGTGTGTGTGTGAACGAGACATTCACTCTAGTTTATCACGCACTTGGCGCTGACACTCTGTAATTGACTTTTTTTTTTTAATTTTGTGTTTTGTTTACATTACATTTAGATACATTTGAATACAGTATTTTATAACATCCGGAAGTGTTACTAGTGTTGAGGTGTAGCCTGTTTAGTGTTGCGCTGCCGAGTGTGTTTACTGACTTGAGTGTATGTCCAGACAACCTGTAGTTGATATTACAAAGGCACTTTTCCAGGCTTATAGTATATACATCCAAAGTGTGTGTGTGAGGGTGGTGTTCTATTCAAATAGTGCATGAAAATGTGTCTGTCTGTTTGAATAACCGTATTGGAGCTGAACCGAGCCACATACACGGGAAGAAATACTCTCATACACTGATACAGGTTATGTATGATCATGGTGTATTTAAACTCGTGAGACCTTGAACCTTCCCTGGGCGACGGAGAGCTCGCGGAAGGCCGTGGACTCCTCCCAGCTGCTGTCCCTGCAGGAACTCGGACCTATGCCCTGGTTACGCTGCTTGTTCAGCCTCTCTTCTTCTTGGTTGAGTTCTATCTCCCATTGGCTGGAAATGACTTCTCCTGAGGAATCCCGGCTTTCCCATTGGCTGGTTGGAGATGAGGTCACACCTAGTCACCAGTCCTGCTCTAAGTTGACCTTGGTAACGTGGTTGTCAACCTTGGAAGCGTCCCTCTTCTTGGTGTCTGAGGATGAGTTGCGTCGGCGGCTGCACCCGTGTACCGCCAGGATCAACACTCTGAGGAAACACAACACAACACTCAGTACATCTCACTTTATTTTGTTGCTAAGATAAGATTAAGGGTCATACTGTTAAGGCTTATCTTCATCTTTTATATAATTATGAGTTGTAAATGTTGTGGTTATGAGTTGTAAATGTTGTGGTTATGAGTTGTAAATGTTGTGGTTATGAGTTGTAAATGTTGTGGTTATGAGTTGTAAATGTTGTGGTTATTAGTTGTAAATGTTGTGGTTATGAGTTGTAAATGTTGTGGTTATGAGTTGTAAATGTTGTGGTTATGAGTTGTAAATGTTGTGGTTATGAGTTGTAAATGTTGTGGTTATTAGTTGTAAATGTTGTGGTTATGAGTTGTAAATGTTGTGGTTATTAGTTGTAAATGTTGTGGTTATGAGTTGTAAATGTTGTGGTTATGAGTTGTAAATGTTGTGGTTATGAGTTGTAAATGTTGTGGTTATGAGTTGTAAATGTTGTGGTTATTAGTTGTAAATGTTGTGGTTATGAGTTGTAAATGTTGTGGTTATTAGTTGTAAATGTTGTACATGTTGATACTATTTACATTAGTGATTTACAGGATTTTTTTTATTTTTGCCGTAACTTGTAATAGACAAATAATATTTCAGGCTTTCAATAAACAGTATAATTTGAGGCATGATAAGACTGACTGCATTAATACCACGAGAGATTTCTAAAGTCACTGGAAGTTGCTCCTAAAAATTATCTCCAGTCTTTTCTTTTAATGTAAATCGACAAATAGAGGTTTTCTTTACTGGTGATTTAATTATTTGAGGTGTACAATGAGCGTTGAGGGATGAGATGTGGTTAGTGGTGTATATATATACTGTATGCGTGTGTGACTACCAGTGTATGAGTTCAGTTGTATTATGAAGCACAAATGTTGAAGAATTATACGGTAGAAAGTCGATGAAGGGAAAAGTGTATTCAGAAGTTGGTGTTGTTCAGGGGAGGATATAAGACCAACACAGTGATTGTTTATAGTGATTATTAACATTTGAGGGATTTATTATAACTTGCTGTAGAGATGTAGTTGTTAAATGATCCCTGTGAAGAACTTACACAGTCTCTTGATAATCTTATACCCTCGGTGCCTCGGTCCCTCTCTCCCTTCATCTCGTCCCCTCTCCCTTCATCTCGTCCCGTCTCCCTTCACCTAATATACCTGTATTCATTAACGCCTTAACTCCCCCGCCCCACTGCCTTCCACCAGGTACTGAGGAAGCTACCCATTATAAAGGCATTAATCCCCACCAGGAGCTCTCATCTTTACACGAGGCCCACTTAACACCCTCCGCCATATGGAGATAACACCACGCACCAAAAAAAAAAAACTGACACCTTTTATCCCGGGGCTGATGGTGTGTTGTCGTACCTTGGCCCACCACATCACCTGTGTTTACTCTCTAAGTAAAACCATTATTGTCTACTTCGTGACGCTGTGGGGGGCCCGACTCACTAAGGGTTGTGGTTCCTTCCTCTCTGGTATTCTTAGGGTCGTTGTTTAGGTTACTGTACCTCTTTGGAAGCCTAAGTAACATGAAGTAAGAATTTTTCCTCTGTACCAGCTGTATTGAATAGGTCTTTCGCCGAGCTATTAATGAGACCAGATCTTGAGCATTGTGTTAAAATGTAATATGGTGTCTAACTTACGTAGGCAAATTGCTGTATAGGCGCGTGAGGCGAGAATGGGCAAGGCAATGTGAATGTGTGATGTCATAGAAAATGGATATTATCTCAGCGGAAACTTAAAAGTATGTGTCATGGGCGGCTTCCTCAACACAGTTTTGACGTCAATTTGTGTTTTCGAGGTTATGAATGGAGGAAAGGAAGGATGATATAGGTGATATAGGGTAGAGACGTTAGAGTAGACCTGGTAGATGGTAGAAGGTCGGGTGTGTGTGTGGGGGGGGGCATGTTGCGTGAGAATAAGAATCTTCTTTTACAGTCACTTGGTAGTGTGGTTTGCTGTATTCAAATGTGCTCAATGGTACTGGGCGTGTGCAGAGGTAGGTTAGGTTAGGTTAGATTAGGTTAGGTAGCTAGCTAGGTGTGGGTCAGGTGCTAGAGTGTTCATTAGTTGGCGCGGGGAGTAAAGGTTGACTCAGAGCCAGGGGTGGAGGCACAGGGTGAGGAGACCTAACCTAACCTAACCAGTGTACGAACAAGGCATCATCATTAACCTGTAACAGTGGACATAAACAGGCGATTCACCTATAATTTACTAGATCTTCAAGTGATAGAAATTTATTCAGTAATTTATTCATCTCATATAAGTCTTACGAGCTATTTTTTTTCTAAAGAAGTTATATAGATAGAATAAACTGAAGAACTAGCTACAGAGACGAGACATGATTATCATTATCCTGACGCCCACACGAGAAATTATTATTATGACAAATACGACCCAACCACCGCCGGATGTGCTGTACCGCCATAGCCCCATCATCCCTTGCCAACACACCCACACCGCCGCCCACCAGGTCCTCTCGCGCTCTGAGGACACGCCCACGTTACTGATGGATAAAGTGTTTCACGTCTAAGGTGGTGAGAGAGTGTCACAGCCATGATGAGGGTGAAAGAGGGTGAGGGTGAAGGGTGAGGACAGTCATGAACAGTGAAGACGAAGTGATGAGAGTGGGCGGAGTGGGGGAGTGGGGTAGTGGTTAGTAATGAGAGGTGAAGTAGCTGGTAATGAGGTGAGGACATGAAGGATGTATGAGTAGCGGTGAGGGAGGTTAAGTCACATGAGGGAGGCTCCAGGAGGGGAGGTCATGAGGTAACGTGAGAGGGGCTTATGGTGGTGGTCAAAAGGCCGTGGGGGTGGTGACTGAAGATGATGATGGCTTTGGAGGTCATGGATTGGGTGACTACATTTGCTCTGGGGGATGATGGGTTATGGGGGCGTGGAGGTGCGTGATGGTGTAGGGAAAGGAGGTGAGGAAGGTAAGGAAGGTGTGACTGCAGGGAGGGAGAAGAGACTGTTGGGTGAGAGAGAGAAAACTAGTTGCCTACATTGCTGGATGAGAGAGAGAGAGAGAGAGAGAGAGAGAGAGAGAGAGAGAGAGAGAGGGAGAGCTGGAGGTACACTTAACACGTTTACGATGAGCTGTTCTTGTGTCCTGATATCATTTCGTATTCTTAAGTGATTCCAGTCTGTTTATATCAGCCTGTACTTCTTGCATGGATATTGCACACCGCTGAAGGATATTAGCAAAATTAGTTTCTAGGAACACGATGAATAAATACTAAGGTCGGGAGACAGTTATTTAATGTTACATATAGGATTAAGTCTACGGGTTCATCTCATCATTATTTTTCTAATCATTATTGTTTTTCTTTTATAAGCAATTATTCTTAAATAACTCTTGTTTTTATCTTTCTGTCCTATAGTTAACGAGCCTATTACAAGTGTTGATACGTCTTTCTCTTCGTAAATGAAATGGTAAGAGAGCAGTTGAAGGTCGAGGTAAAGTTGTCGAGAGTTGAAGGTCGTTACGTTACTTCTTACCAACTTCCTCAATGTTTACAGTCTCGCTGGCCCACTCACCTACTCTCTGTGTGATAAGTCTGAGAAATTGTTCCCGACTGAAAATTTTTAATCATTCTAAGTGTCACCATTAAGTTTGAAGTATGACAGCTGTTATTCTTTACTGTCTTACCGTAATGTTTGCTCAGTAACACTAGTGACCTTACGGCAGTAGTGAAATACAGGTGAGAGTATCCTGAAGGTGGCCAGGGCGGTGTTCCTCGTGTGTGTATGTGTGAGAACCCTGACGTTATCAGCTCTGCTATATGAGACGGTGCGTTAACTTACTCCTCACCTGGTAACTTTAATTAACTTGAAACTTATTACAATGGATAAGTATTGCTTCCTGGATAAATTCCTTGGCCCAACATTATAATATCTAAGTTAATTAAATTCTGGCACATGGAGCGGGCCAGCGTGAGGCAGTGACCCGGCTGCTGCCTCTCATACTGGTAAATAGTTTAGGGCGAGTGAGAATTTCATTAACATGGACACATACTGATGAACTTAGGTCACGGGTCATGTGGCAGGAGGGAGAGGGGTGGGTCGGAAGGAGGGAGGAGGGGGTGGGTGGAAGGAGGGAGGGAGGGAGGGGGGTGGGCGGAAGGAGGGAGAGAGAGGGGGCGGGAAGGGAGGGAGAGGGGGGCGGGAAGCAAAATCTGTTGTATCAATTGTATTCACATTCACACCTTGATTTAGATACATTAGACCAGGTTCATCGAGTGGTGCCAGGATATCGTGCATTTGCTTGGTGTTAGGCTGTGTGGCATTGATTTTATTTTATCAATATACTTAAAATAATACGATAGCACTATGTTAATGTTATCAGTTCCTTACTATGAATCATTAACGCGACTTCACCTTCAGTGTTGTTAAAAATGTTCACCTTCTTGTATCCACTGTTTACATTATTGAGGACATCATTTAGTCATATGGTATATAAAAAATATTGCTATACCTGTAATATAGAAATTAATTGATAGAAAAAAACTTATTAATTTTTTTCCCAAACTAATATTGGTGGACGGTAGTTGATGGGTGGGGTCAGAGGTCATCATCACACGAGGTCATTGTCTTCATTATAACATGCACGGGGTGATGGTGCTGTGTGTTATATGCCAGAAGTTGGAGTATTAACAAGGTGGAGGGCCTTCCAGACGGACACACTTACAGGCTGACACTGGCCTGGCCCTTAACTTCCGCTGGGTAATCTACACCACCAACTGCCCTGGGCTCTCTGGCTACACCTCCAGACACCGCGGCACGCAACACTCGCCCCAGATCCCGGTGCCACAAGGCTGACACTCGCTTGACTCGGCACCTCGCAATATGTCCACAACTGACTCCGGCCAATTGGTTGTCTGTAATTTATGGGCCAACTGACATGTTCCTCCGTGTGTAACCAACTGGCTCACCTCAGCTGGCTATTGCCAGATGTGGCCGGAAATGGGGGGGT